GCTCCCCAGCTCACCCGTAAAATGCTGTATATATAGTCTATATCTAAGCTATTTAATGAGGTGTAAATTGATATGATTAGTTCAAGTCATATTCCAACCTCGAAGCATGTTAGTACGTCTGACTGTATGTGTCTACATGTATTAGAATATGTACGAGACCAGCAGTGATGACTCAAAGCAACTAGAACATAAAAAGAAGCGTCCATTCTCGGCCATCAAGGTCTATTGACCACCATCACTGTCTCTCTGTATATAGTTTAACCGTCACGCCTATTGCGCAAGGTCGGACACATGTCTGGTCATGTTGATGAGCTCTTTGTCTGCATGTGAGAGAGAAAGAGTGAGCTAAAAAGTGACCATTATTAGAACATAGACAAGAAAAGACTATTAAGTTTTGAGTAGGCTTTCGAGACTACCAGTAAGCCAGAGCTATTAGTTGTTTTCACCCTATTTCGTTTAAGGTGATTAAGGACTGGTAGTTGAATTTTCCCAAAACGACATGAGTCGACATGACGTTTTCCACCGAATTTCGCATAGTCTTGCTTTCCCAAAAGTTGTTCTCATTCAGGCCGGAGTGGATGGCCGTTTCGAGCTCGCAGCGGGAGTCGAACTGTGACAGTGCAACATGTAGGCTTGACACATTAACCACTCGGCCACATTGTCACGAGTGCCTTTTGATGACAAGACAAATGTGAATTTCAAGGAAGGACAGGCATTTTCCCATATCAAATTCTGGGCTGGGATTGTTGACGGAGCAAACTTCTATTTATTATAGCAATCGTGCCCCGGAAACAGCACCGACAAGAATGTTCTAGTAAAGCCAATCGACAGCTGATCAAGAATAATCCGCCGTCGTCTTCTGATGGGGTCGACACTCGAATCACTTCACCAAATACTTTTATTCAAAAAATGGAAGTAAGCGCAACAATTATGAAACAAAAGAGTCCTAGAAATCCAACTTTTCTTCTAAGAAAATTAATACACTAGAACAACAAGCAGGTGAACTTCCTTTTCCCAATAGTTTATGCACTGGGCGTGACTTCGTTCCTCTCCAAGGAATTAGAGCTTCTTAAGAGGGCGTTTTTCAGGAACGATCTAAAAGAAAGGGCCAAGACTAGCCTTTCTCTCCTGCAAGGCAGGATGGAGGACCATTAAGGTAGTAAATAATGCTCATTGTGGTTAAACAATACAAGATGATAATCCCATCATGAACAGACAGAAAAAAAAAACGAAGTAGCAAGGCTGACTTGAATAGACTGTTATGCTAACTCTTCTTAGCTAAACATGTTTTGGTGACTTTCATTTCTTGTGAAGATTTCGGATGAAAATATTACAGGGTCGATTTTACATATTTCCTTGATTTACGCAACTATGCATAAAACCAGCACACATTCTCGCAAAAAGGTACTAAGAATGAGATGAAATGCAGATAAGCATATCATTTTATGTTTTTACTCTACATCACAATATAATATTTGAAGTATTTTGGTTCTCATTAAAGGCGTAGCCTAGTCTTCCAAACTCGTCGTGGCGTCAAAAATGCCTTAAAGATTGTACCTTAAATTACGTTATCCGATAAGAATCGAAACGGTGCCTCGGCAAATTCGAAGACGGTACATCGGAATACAAGTCTTCAATCAGTCGCCCCAATCATAGAACACGACAGAAATTAGATAAGACGAGATTTCTTTTTGTGACAACCCTATCTGGTGACCTTTTCTTACCATATTTTCAGTAGCCTTTGATCTCTACCACAATATGAAATAGTAATCGGTACTGTTCCCAATATCCTCCTATTTATGCATTAGCATAAAAAAGACATACATATTAGTAAACATCTTTATAGTACTCTAATGTACTACATTGTTCTGAATTAGCATTTCAAAAGCTACCAAGAAGTTAGCCACATAAACTTGGATTAACTTTTGTCCAATTCCCTGTTTCACCTTAAATAGCTATTTCCTTTCATACAATTTCTTAATATTGTGAAATTACCGACAAATAATGCTAGTGGACGGACACAAGCTTAGCATGGATTAATTGATATCGTAGGACTGTGAGCCGATGTCTTCTTCGCACAATCCAGCGGTCACATGTCCAATGCAATACCTCATCAGTGCCTGATGAGGTCAACTTACTAATTTTTTCCATCATCCTTTCTAACAAAATAAAAGATACACCGACATCAATTCACGGCCCTTTAGCTGCTACCTGAACTACAAAATGCATACGCTTGGTCAAAGGATCGGCTTCACTTGTCTCTTTGACGAGTAGCTGTGTGGTGCTTAGGATGG